AGCAGCAGAGTTCTTTGCAGCAGCAATGCTCCTTACAGCAGTGATGACAGCAATCTCTTCTGATTCTAGTTAGTGTACCTCTGTCGTTAACTGAAGACGGGAAAAATACAAGTGATGTATTTTTTCCATGGTGAAATTCCGCTGCATCTTCCTCTGTCATCCCAGCTGCGCTTTCTTCCCCCGGTGTTTCTTTTGAAAATGAATTTAGTCCTGCGTTTGTAGTAAGGTCCTGTACCGAATCAAAATTTAACTCAGTTTGTGATAAAGGTAGAGCCTAAAACAAATATCGTCTGATTTGCCACTTCACTGATAACAGTGATGGTTTTAGCGTTACTTTTTAACAAATACGAGCCATTAATCAACGTCTTTTTCACAGATGGTTTTAACAGATTTCCACTTTTCTAAACTAATTTGTTTGATCAGTGTACTGTTTTAATTTGCAGAGTCTGCTGAATTGAAACGGCTAATGTAGCTCTTGCTTATAAGCGTTTCTTAAGTTGAAGGTCAAAGTACAATAAATCAACAGCTATTGTCGCGACCAACGCAAATGCTAGAAGAACTAAGCTCATGAGAAGTGATTGGCGATCGCAGTCAGCGAAGTAGCTAAAACATGCATGATAACCAAAAGCGATCAAATCAGTCAAGTTGACAGGAAAAGCAGCCATTGTAGAGCGATGCGTTGTGGTAATTGCCGGCTGGTTAACCTGCTCTTCTGTAGGTTTATCTATTTCAATCTCTTTTTATTTTGTTATTTCTATAATTGATTGTTAATTTTTCATACACTTGCTACTTTGTATTATAACTAAGAATTACGTTTAAATATTATACCATTTCTTTGCAACAAAGGTTCAATTACTCGAGTGCGAGGTATACTTACGCTCTCACGCATTCTACGTTCGTCACAACGATACACTTTATTAGCAGAAATATAGTAGAGTTATTCTTTCTAGTTTTTTTTCTGTTATAGCTATTTTACAAATAAAACAAAAACTGATTTCCTTTAAATATAAGGGTTTGTCTGGTCGACTAAACAAAATAAATTTAATTACCTTGGTTTGAAGAAGGTACGCAGTCAGCGTCAGTAGGGTAAGGCTGCTCAACATGATTGAAGAACTGAGATTTAGGATGAACTGAAAATTTTACTATTTAGTTTGCAAAGTACACAATTTATATAAGAAATTGTATAGAGTCTCAAGTTTTTACAGACATATTTTCAGTTTATAGTTCAATAGCTTCAAAACTTATTGTCATTTCTGAGCATACATTGTAGTACGCATTTTTTGATAATTTATGAGTCTGGTATAAATAATGGTCAAGAACAATGCAATAGAAAAAATGCGTTCAGTTTTTGTAATTTTGAAAGATATTGTCTCAAAATAGCTATTATAAATCATTATTTGGGTGCTTCATATTTCTGAATAACTTTCTAGCCTTGCTCCAACTACAACAATAAAGTTAACAACGAATCCTTGTGCAATAAAACATCGTAACCGGCT